AAATTTGACAGAAAATCTTCCAGCATTTTCTTTGCCTCTCAGATTCAGGACCATTCTGATTCCCNTCCCAAGTGGCTCAGGGGTGAAGAAACCACCTGCTATGCAGGAGTTGTGGGTTTGATCCCTGGGTGGGGAAGATCCCCTGGAGGAGGGCATGGCAACCCACTCCAGTATTCTTGCCTGGAGAATCCCATGGACAGAGGAGCTTGGTGGGCTATGATCCATGGGGTCACAAAGAGCCGGACATGACTGAGTGACTAAGCATGTATGCATCTCAGTCATAGGTGGCATAATTCATGCAACAAACATGAAACCTTAAAATCCCAATAAACCCACCATCAGCATCATGATAGCCTCTTGTTCAAAAGATGGCACTGTTACCTCGGATCTTTTACTCTAGCACAGAAACCCGTCCCCCACCACAACCTTTCCCCCACTTCTCCACACACATATCACTCTTTCTTGTTCTATTGTTTTTTTTTAAACCACCACTTCAAAAGTAGGAAAGAGACTTAGATGTTTGTAAGGAGAAAAGTGAATATGAAAAGTAAACCCATTATGATTACCAGTAATGATAATAGTTTATAACACTTTTCCAAACCAATGACTTTTGCATCATTTTTTTACTGCAATCAACAGCATATGCATACTTAAACATATTCGTGTATGTAAGTATACAGAAATAAATAACATCATTTCACAGAACATTACACATTGTGCACCAAAGGTTTTTCTTTCTTACTCTTTCATTTTGCAAAGTGTTGCTCATGAGTCATGATATCATGATCGACTAGAGAGTGGCAACCTGCAGTTAAAAAAAAAATAAGACTCTGATGGGCAATAATTAGCAGATAGTTCATTAATCTTTAACCCAGAGAGTAACCTAAAAGCAACTTTATTTTCTAATTCAGACTTCTTGTGTTCAAAGGATCTATTCTTGAGACATTCTCTGGGAGTGTCTCCTTCATTTTTACCTGGGACACAAATGGAGGTCAAAGCAGACATGTTACAGAGGAAACTCAGGACCATAGTCTTACTTCCTGATTTCTGACATCAGCCGTAGATTCGGAACAACGTCCGCCCCCAACACCCAGGCCAGAAACACCTTTTAAAGTAAAGTCTTTATAAGGATTGGCTGGAAATTTATCCAACTTGACTCAGGTGACACCTCCAAAGTTTCTCAACTAGAAATAAAGGGTGACAGAAAAATAGGGACAGGTGAAATACCTACGGCATTTCATAAAATGAAATACAAAATAGCTGTGAAAAGAATGTCAGCCTGTGTGTAATGAACCCACATTCAAAAAAGAGTAAGTTAAACACATCATGTGTGATAGACTTCCACATGTTTTTAAAAGGGGGATATACCTGTTTATATGTGCATAGAATATTTATGAAAAGCTCCACGAGATATTAATTGTAGTAATGGGAATTGTCTCTAGGGAAGAAAAATAGAAGACAGGGAGTCTGGAATGATAATCAGTTCAGTCGCTCAGTCATGTCCAACTCTGTGACCCCCATGGACTACAGCACACCAGGCTTCCCTGTCCATCACCAATCCCTGGAGCTTACTCAAACTCATGTCCATTTAGTCGGTGATGCCATCCAACCATCTCATCCTCTGTCATCCCCTTCTCCTCCTGCCTTCAATCTTTCCCATCATCAGGGTCTTTTCTAGTGAGTCAGTTCTTTGCATCAGATGGCCAAAGTATTGGAGTTTCAGCTTCAGCATCAATCCTTCCAATGAATATTCAGGACTGATTTCCTTTAGGATAGGCTGGTTGGATCTCCTTGCAGTCCAAGTGACTCTCAAGAGTCTTCTCCAGCACCACAGTTCAAAAACATCAAATCTTTGGTGCATAATAGAGATTGAATATTTTTGTATACCTTTTCATTGTGTTTGAAATTTTTATTTTGTGTGTGTATGTATGTGTGTGTGTGTGTGTGTGTGTGTGTGTGTGTGTGTGTATAAAATTTTCGATTAATTTTAGGGAATTCCCTGGCCATTCAATTGTTAGGACTTGTTGCTTTCGCTGCTTGGGCCCACATTTAGTCCCTGGATGGGGAATTGAAATCCTACAAGCCTCGAGGCGGACTGAAAAAAAAAACTAACTAATTTTTTAGAATATGATAGAGGAAGTAAGTACTCACAAACTCATTAAGATGAAGGGAGTTTTCTTGTCGATAGTCATATAAATAGATGTTTATTATAGCACCAAAATTCATTTTCTCTCATTTGTATATAATATAATTTACAAAGAGTTTCATATCTATTGCCTAACTTAATGCCCATGACAACATTTTGAAATAGGTGTGACAGTTACTAGAAGCTACAATTTACAAATTGGGAAAAACAAAAAATCCTGAAGCTTTAAGGAGTTAAAAATCTAGAGCATATTTTAAGGGAAGAAATTCGGAGTCATTTCCATGATTGTAATATAGTAGAAATCTGAAATTTTACAGTATTATGAGTTACCAAGTAGTCTATTAATAGCCAAATTTTTAAAGACTTCAGCATTACTACTTGCAATATTGATCTCTTAACTAAGAAAATCTTGCATAAAGGAGGGAGGAAAAAAAACCCTACTGAAAATCTTCATGTAAAATATGCCTAATAGTAGAAAATAAACTGTCAACTAATGACTGGTTGAAAATTAACATTAAAGAAGCTGCATTCAAAACTTTGCCGTATAGAATTTTACCTTTGAATTAGAACAAATGCAAAATAATTACCGAAGTGGAAAAAGAGGGAACTTACAAATCATCACTACTAAATCTTGAATAATACACTAAGGTTTTTGGTTATGGTCATTATATCTTCCAGAGTCCCAGACAAGCCAATTTTATACCTCCTTTCCCCAAGCAATTATTCATAGCAGCCCTTTCACTCTCAAGGCTGTCCTAGTTCGTGTGATAAACATCACAGTCTAGTCTCATACATCTTTAAGATCCTCTTGTTCTAGGGTTAGGACTTCATCTCAAAACTAAGAAGTACCCTCATTCATGCAAAATCATGCTCAGATTTTATTTGAATGTACCAAAGAATGTTCAGACTACCGCACAATTGCACTCATTTCACATGCTAGCAAAGTAATGCTCAACATCCTTCAAGCCAGGCTTCAACAGTATATGAACAGAGAACTTCCAGATGTACAAGCTGGATTCAGAAAAGCAGAGGAACCAGAGATCAAATTGCCAACAACTGTTGTATCATAGAAAAAGCTAGAGAATTCCAGAAAAACATCCACTTCTGCTTCATTGACTACACTAAAAGCCTTTGACTGTGTGGATCACAACAAACTGTGGAAAATTCTTAAAGAGATGGGAGTACCAGACCACTTTTCCTGCCTCCTAAGAAACCTGTATGCAGGTCAAGAAGCAACAGTTAGAACTGGACATGGAACAACAGACTGGTTCCAAATCAGGAAAGGAATACTTCAAGGTTGTATATTGTCACCCTGCTTATTTAACTTATATGCAGAGTACATCATGCAAAAGGCCAGGCTAGATGAAGCACAAGCTGGAATCAAGATTGCTGCAAGAAATATCAGTAACCTCAGATATGCACCANCAACAGAGGATGAAATGTTTGGATGGCATCACTGACTCAATGGACATGAGTTTGAGCAAACTCTGGGAGATGATGAAGGACAGGGAAGCCTGGTGAGCTGCAGTCCATGGGGTCGCAAAGAGTTGGACATGACTGAGCAGGTGAACAACAACAAATGACTCTCAGATTTTAAAAAAGTGAGTAGTTTCCAGATCAACTGTTGGCTTTATTAAAGAGATTAACAGGGAGTCTCAGGGTCTGATTTGGGATTTCTTGTCTATGGGGATTTAAAAGCAAATATGAACCAGGTTTGACTTGGTGAGATTGAGGAAAGTAAAAGTGGAAGTCACTCAGTTGTGTCCAACTCTTTGCAACCCCATGTACTGTATCAATCCATGGAATTCTCCAGGCCAGAATACTGGAGTGGGTAGCCATTCCCTTCTCCAGCGGATCTTCCCAACCCAGGGATCAAACCCCAGGTCTCCTGCATTGCAGGCGGATTCTTTACCAGCTGAGCCAGCAGGCAAGCCCAGGATTGAAGACAACTAAATCCTCTTAGCAGGGTTCTGAACAGAGTTCAAAAAGTGCACGCCCTCCAAGAGCCCTTCATTCATGAATTTGTTTATTTATTCATAGTTGGAGAGTGGCAACTTGAGGCACGGCATGTTCTAAGTACTGCCTCAGTTTCGTCAATAATTTTACAAACTTTATGCTACATTTCCAGCAGTGCTTTGCAGGAATGTGATCTTATATGTAAGATATTGCGGTTTAAATGAGCCTCTAAATTCTTTTCTCTCTAGTACTCTTTAAAATTTCTATAATTTGTAATTACTCTATTCATGAATTACAAAGATTATTCCCATGGTTTGGATAAATTAAATGATTGCTGTGATTTTTTTTTTTATGTTGCAATATATTTCTTCCTTAGAACAAGCAAATGAATTGTAGCCAAGCTGGAGATCATGATGAGAGCATCTTTTACTCAGCTATAAGCAGAGCTTATATAGAGCAGAGCAGAATATAGACACAATTACTGCTAGATTAGGCCAATGCCACTGGTTATTTATAAGATGTGTTTGCGTGCTAATACATTTTCTAAAGCACTTGGCATTTAGATTGAAGTTATTACTATGTGATTACTTGAGGTTTCTGTGTAAAGTACTAAAGAACATTTTAATTGTTCTTCTATGTTTGCATTTACACTTTTAACAAAATCTTTTCAGAATATATTTAACATGCATGTACACAGTCAGATTCTCTCTCTGAGGGTGTTGGGACCTGGTCCTGAATCTGACAATTTGACTCTTTCCTTGTGTCTGTAGATGTGTGGATCTTTACATAGGTCTTCTCTTTATTCCTCCCCCTTCCTTACTTTCCTGGAAATCTTTATTTCCTATCAATTACTCACCAGACTTTTCACAAAAGGAATCTTGTGGGGTTTTCTTTCGTTCTAATCATCACTTGTTGAGTGATTACTGTCACTGCCTTCACTGTCACTGTCACTGTCGCTACTACTTCCATTGTTGTTGCCTTTACCAGACTTGGTCTTGCTGTCACTCTTACCATTGCTGTCACTGCTGTCACTACTATCGCTGCTGTCACTGCTGTCACTGCTGTCACTGTCTGATTTACTGTCACTATCGCTGCTGTCACTGCTGTCGCTGCTGTCACTGCTGTCGCTGCTGTCACTGCTGTCACTGCTGTCACTGTCTGATTTACTGTCACTATCGCTGCTGTCACTGCTGTCACTGTCTGATTTACTGTCACTATCGCTGCTGTCACTGCTGTCACTGTCTGATTTACTGTCACTATCGCTGCTGTCGCTGCTGTCACTGTCTGATTTACTGTCACTTTCACTACTGTCACTGCTGTCACTGCTGTCTGATTTATCTTTGCTGTTGCCTGATTTGCCATTGTCATCATCTCCATTGTTACCATTGCCATCACTACCACTGTCATTAGCATCTGATGTGTTATCACTACCATCATCATCTCCTTTTGAGCCACTGTCATTGCCATGATCATTCGATTCATCAGAGTTATAAGAAGTATCTCCTCGGCTACTGTGATTATTATCACCTTCAGAATTGGCATCATCACTGCTGTTGGGGTCATCTCCTTGCATGGATTCATCGTCAAACTCGTAACTGTCATATCCATCACTGTTACTGTCACTGTGTGTTTTGCTGGGTCCAAGCTTATTTCCAGGTTCCAGTTTCTGGCCAGCTCCTTCTATAATGTCAATCTCTCCTTGTGTCTTGACATTTCCTTTGCCCACAATCATTCCATGCTGGCCTTTACTCTCTTTATCTTCATTAACTTTCCCAGCTTCTTTGGTAATATTGTTTCTGTGCCCACTGCTAGGACTTTCTATTTCCATTCCCTATGGAAAGATGGAGAAAAGAATGATTAATTAGTGAATGTTATGCTGCAAAATTGCATTGGTCTGAGGAAGACTGGGGAAATTGGCCAGAGAACAGGAGTTTGGATTCCAGTACTTTAGAAACACCTGTCTGTGAAAATGTGCTTTATTCTACTTGAAAGCGGAGAAGGCAATGGCAACCCACTCCAGTACGCTTGCCTGGAAAATCCCATGGATGGAGGAGACTGGTAGGCTGCAGTCCATGGGGTTGCTATGAGTTGGACACGACTGAGCAACTTCACTTTCACTTTTCACTTTCACACGTTGGAGAAGGAAATGGCAACCCACTCCAGTGTTCTTGCCTGGAGAATCCCAGGGACGGGGGAGCCTGGTGGGCTGCCGTCTATGGGGTCGCACAGAGTTGGACAAGACTGAAGCGACTTAGCAGCAGCAGCAGCAGCTACTTAAAAGTACTCTAGTGTTTAGATTATAGACCATACCATTCATGTTTTTATCCAGTAGGAACTTCTGTAAACAGTTACATAATGCATTAATTATTTAGCATAAGACTTTTGAAGAACTCTAACCAAATCTTCAGAAATTTCAACTTTTTTAAATTGTTCCATAGAAGTGTCTAGTAAGGACTCTAGCTTCCCCAGTGAATATTCAAGTGATTTAGGTGCAAAAATACATGACTGTTCATCATGATTTATTTTTGTGCTACCATCATGGGCAGAGGAGTCTGACAGGCTACAGTCCATGGGGTTGCAAAGAATGGAACATGGTTGAGTGACTGAGCACTCACACACCATCATGAGAGGAAGGGGAGGAGTTAAACTGCCATTGAAAGAAACCAACTTCCCAAACTAACCTTATCTTGGCCCTTCCCAATAGTAGGTGGCTCTGACTTTTCAGTGATTCTATTTTCCATAGCTTTGTTCTCTCCGTGACTGGGTTTTTGAGTGTCCTCTGTTTTCTGGCCATCATTGTCTTCTGGAATACCGGCAGAATCTTCCTCACTCTTGGAGAGGTCTCCACCAATGACATGGGTGTCTTCGTTGTCCCCAGGGCCATCATCTTCACTACTAACTGAATTTTTACCTAAGCTATTGTCCTCATCATCCTCTTCTCCATGAGACTGACCCTCCTGGCCCTTGCTGGGATCACTACCCTTTTCTCCATTCCCTGTTTCTTCACCTCCATCATCACCAGAGCCCTTGTCTTCACCCTCATCTGCTCCATTCCCACTAGGACTTCCTTCAAAATTATCCAAACCAACATCTTCTCCGTTGCCAGCTCCACTTCCCACTGGCAATATCCCTGCCTCCTCATTCCCATTTCTCTCGCCTTCTCTCTGAGGTGTTGTTTCACTTGTGTCAGCCCCGTTTCTACAGATACTCCCATTGATTTCATCCTCCTGACCTGTACTGTTACTGCTTCCAGCTACTTGATGTCCATCTTCTTGGACAACAGTGGCGTCCTCACTTTGACTTGTATTTCCAACACCCGCATTTTGGGAATTGTTCTCAGTAATCCCATCAATATGGCTCCCATTTGCTGCTCCAGCATCTTGGATGATGCTTACTTGTCCCCTGAGGCCGTTTGCACTGGTGCTATCTTCTTGTCCTTGGATCCCATCATGATCGTATGTTTCTGGTTTTCCTGTGCCCCCCTTTAGATCCTCTGTATTCCCCTTTTCATTTACTAATGTGGAACCTGTAGAAGAACTTTTCCCTCCCAGCTCTGCCCACTCAGAACCATTTCTCTCTCCTTTGTAGCCATCTTTGGTATCCTGTTGCCTTCCTTGTTCATTTTCATGCATGAGGCCAGCACTTTCTTTGGTGGTATCATTGGCATTTAATGCATCCTGAAAAAGAGAAACAATTCAAATTAAGTCGTGGATATCATCTTAAAGTAAAGCAAACTGAAAAGATAAGCATCAATTTTCTGGAAGTTAATGTAATCTAAAAGTTTAGAAATACATTTTACATCTCATACCTGTATTGGCACTTTTGATTTTGCTAGAAGATTTAAATTCACAGTTTCGTCAACAGCATGTCTCTCCAACGGCTTGATTTGAGGAACCTACCAAAGTGAAAATACTGGAAATTGAAAATATTCTTATTCTTATTTCATGTACACGTGTGCACACATGTACTCACACACATGTGCACAGATACATGCACATACATATTATCCCTAAATGAATGAAAAAAGATATAACACAAAGGCCAAAGTATGATCTAATTGGATAGAAAAGAGAAGTGACTTGTTACATGGATTCCATAGAATTTAAACTTGGCATATAGATATTTTTCATAACAATATTACCAATTTTACCAAGGTTTTAACCAGATCACTTATCTCATCACTAGAAAGGAAATAGTCTTTTTATTAAAAATGAGGAGACAGCTTGTAAATGTGTTATCACACTTACACAATTTAAAAAATAAAAAAGAAAGAAGATGCCCTAAAAAAATAAATGAGCAACAAGGATATATTGTGTAGCACAGGGAACTATAGCCATTATCTTGTAATAACTTTTAATAAGGTATAATCTGTAAAAATACTGAATCACTATGCTGTATACCTGAAACTAATATAATACTGTAAGTAAACAATACATAAATAAATTTAAATAAAAGTAACATTGAAGAAAAAAATGAGGAGACAGACCTTTGGTGTTTCTGTATGACAAGTTTCTTGCAGCAGCACCAGATCCGCCCTAAGAATAATCCTGGTCAAAACCCCTAAGAGAATAGTAGGTCTGACCAAAACCAGGGCAGAAACAAAGGCAAGTCTATGCTACCTCTGTGCCCTTCAGGAGCACAACAGAAACAGTTAAGAAAATTCTCAACTACAGAAATACCATGAGGAAGGCATATCAAAATGGCAACTGTAGCATCTGGCTAATAAAATTACAAATGACTTAATTTTCCTAATTTATCTTTGCTGGTGTTTATCTTTCAAATACAACTTTTTGAGTGAAACATTAGTTTTCCCTTTGCTGAAAAAAATGTGATTTTTTTTTCCTATTTTTCTTTCTTGAAACCTTCTTAAACAAGGCTTCATTGATAATCAGAATGAAATTCATAGGGCATGAGCAAAGATGGACAGTCCTTACAACTTCTAAGCATTAAATGTAAATTAATCTGAATGAATTTTATAAGTAACAATCTTTCCAACAAGACAGGTGTTTCAGTTAGAAGACTGGGAGCATGAATTGGAGTTCATATTTAGTTTTGTTGAGACCCCAAACAGATCCTGTAAAGTCTTTCATACAAATCTAAAAGTTTAGGCTCAGCTGATCTGCAAGATCTCAAGAAAAAAATACACACATATGTGTGTGTGTGTGTGTGTATACACATATATGTATGTGTATTAAGAAAGGTAGTAAAGTAAGAAGGTTTTTTTGAGGAAAACATACTTACTGGAATGGCCCATGCTACTGCCCAAATGCAAAAATATACAATGATCTTCATTTTCTATAGGAATATTAATCAGTGGCTGTTATTGAAGAAAAAAAGAACAGTAAAAAATTACTTATAAGGCAAAAGATGATAACCATATAATGTATTCTTTTGGTCTCTAACCATGTGCCTCTTTCCTAGGTAACGAGTATGAACACAACATGAGAAGAAGCTGCCAAGACTCAGCGTTCCAGTACATACCTGAGTACACACACATTGTCTGTGATCAGCACACACCAGGAGTTGGGTCACAGACACAAATCTGAATGAATTTTATAAGTAACAATCTTTCCAACAAGACAGGTGTTTCAGTTAGAAGACTGGGAGCATGAATTGGAGTTCATATTTAGTTTTGTTGAGACCCCAAACAGATCCTGTAAAGTCTTTCATACAAATCTAAAAGTTTAGGCTCAGCCGATCTGCAAGATCTCAAGAAAAAAATACACACATATGTGTGTGTGTGTGTATACACATATATGTGTGTGTATTAAGAAAGGTAGTAAAGTAAGAAGGTTTTTTTGAGGAAAGCATACTTACTGGAATGGCCCATGCTACTGCCCAAATGCAAAAATATACAATGATCTTCATTTTCTATAGGAATATTAATCAGTGGCTGTTATTGAAGAAAAAAAGAACAGTAAAAAATTACTTATAAGGCAAAAGATGATAACCATATAATGTATTCTTTTGGTCTCTAACCATGTGCCTCTTTCCTAGGTAACGAGTATGAAGACAACATGAGAAGAAGCTGCCAAGACTCAGCGTTCCAGTACATACCTGAGTACACACACATTGTCTGTGATCAGCACACACCAGGAGTTGGGTCACAGACACGCAAGGGCGTTATCCAGCTCAGCGTGATGATGAGCTGCCTAAACTCTGTGATTTTCCAGTGAAGGGGTACAGCCAGACAGTTACAAAAGCCAGAACTATAACTCTCCTTCTGCTGTTCCTGCTGGCAATAACAAACCTTCTGAATAGTTTTCATCAAGGATCAACTAATTCTGCTAAGAATACGCTTAATAGATGAAGGATTTATGATTCCCACCCCAAATCCACACGCGTTTGGGCTATATTAGACTGTACAGAAAAGAAATTACCAACACGAAGATGAAAGGATATGGAGTTTGGATTCAGAGACCTAGGTTCCAATTTTATCTTTGTTATTTGATGTGCAAGCTTGAAGAATTTAAGTAGGTTTCTTAAGCATTTGATTCCTTGGTCTAGGATAATAATAGCCACACTGCAGGATTATCCCAATTATCTTAGCAGAAGATTTTTCTCTGAGACGCTTTCTCTGGCTCCATGTCAAAGGGCATTTGGTGGGATTTCCCTGACGGTCCAGAGTTTGAGACTCTCCCTTCCAATGAGGAGGCACACGTTCGATACCTGATTGGGGAACTACGGTCCTGATCACCACAAGGTATAGCCAAAAATTTTTTTAAAAAAGGGTATTTGGTGTCTCTCTCCTCTTTACACCCAGCAGAAGCTGATAACACTGCACTGATAGCACTGAACCATTTTCACTGTTTTCAAGTAGGCTGGCAGCTACTTATATGTTCCTCTGCCATAATGAGACCTCCTCAGGTCCAGGAGACTGTCTTGGTGATCACATTATTCTAAAACATAGCATAGCAAAAGCCATTTTGTGAACACTGTGGATAAATAAACACATATTACTGTAAGCAATATAAGTGTGGAGCATTGTTCCTGCTATTTCACCATCACTTAATAAATGATATCACTTATTATGTGGGACTTCTGAAGACACGATCCTTCACTCCTGTTAGAATTCACCTTCAGAATCAGTCTAGTATACATTTCTTGTACATTGGGATAGATATTGAGTTCATGAGAATCAAAATTTTAAACAGCTATTTACTACAAACTGTATCTCTTGACATAATGATGCTAGTCCTATAGAAAGGAAGGAAGAATTTTACTTCTATTTCATGCACTCCCACTGGGTTTTGAAACTATAATACTGTAGATCATAAGATAGCCTTGATTCAATTTAATGTTGATAGGGGAAGCATAATAAAACCTCCATGAATATCAACTATCTTAGAAGAACTGGCACTTTTCACAGAAGAGAAAATCCAGTTTCAGAGTGACTGAGGAGGTGGGGGAAATGTGCTTACTCTTAGAGCTGTTCAGCAGAAAGCCAAAAGTAGCTAAACTTCCTTTAAAAATGCTAGAGATTAAAAGTGAGGCTGATGGGACCTCAAGACAGCATAATGCAGAGCTCTGGGGCATGGATGCGAAGGGCAGCTGTTTAGTAAGCAGAGGCTATAAGGTCCTTCGCAGTCCCAAATATAGTTATTACATAGACCCTACAGAAGACCAGCCTACAGTACGGTTTGGAGGACACATGAGCTCCTGGAAAGGAACTTATAGTGAAGGCCAGAGTTACGTGCATCCCATTTCTAAACTGCAGTCCATCAACCTGACCACTTTAGTTCTCTTGCAGATCTACTCTAGAACAATTGCTCTATGCACACTGCGCCTTGCCACTATGTCCACAGGTAAGTAAAAGGCACAACAGACACTATAGAAATGGCCCCAGTTTTATCAGCCTGAAAGCAGAGGCTTTGGGATTATGTGAACTCCCTTCAGATGATTTCATGTATTGTCACCAATAAAATGAGCTTGTACTTAGTTAACTTGAACAAGTTAATAAAACCTTGAAAAACAAGCTTAACTAAAGCCCTGTTTCAAAGTCCAAGTGTTAGTCGCTTGGTCGTGTCCGACTCTGCCAACTGTAGCCCACCAGGCTCCTCTGTTCATGGAATTCTCTAGGCAAGAATCCCTTCTCCANTTATCTTTCTCTTTGAGAACTGAGAGTAGCAAACTGTCCTGGACTTTTGCATGACAATTTTGTTCCTGCCGAAATTTAAAGTCAGTTTGATAATTATCTCAACCAATCACTGTTTAGGATCCTTGATACAGGGTTATAAAGTGTCACCATGTCTATGAAGCACATAATAACTTCCCCCGCTTCCTTCACTTGCTGATATGTATTTGCTCACAGCACCATTCGATTCCGAAGGAACTAGACTTACTTTCACTTAATTAAATAGCTCCTGGAAGGCTGTTCTGCATCTTAAATATAGACCATCAGTGTAACATATCTGAAAAGAGGCACTTAAACTCTGTCACCCTGACATTTCTTGTCTTCCTAAGGTTGGCAATCTAAGAAAACTCTAGGTTTCTTTAGTAAATATACTGCCTATTTAAGACCCCTATCATTCCTGAGGTAGGTATTAACGTTTCTGTGCTATAATTCAAGAAACTGTCCGCATGCAACAGCCTGGATGTTGCCTAAGGGGTCTTTAACAATCTATAAATAGTAACTCCCAAGAAATCTTTCTGATCTAAATAAACAGTAATGTGAGGTGTTTTAAAATGCATCAATTTAGTATTCAAACTAAATTTTAAAAATAAATATTCAAAATACTAAAACTCATTGTAAGGTAGCTAGATTGCAAAAGTACATACATACAATGGATCTAGCTCTCCATTATCTCTCAGTTCTTTGTACTAGTTGTGGAGGAGAACATAGAAAGCTAGACCTTAATGCTAGCAGAAGCTGTGGCACTTGAACTCACCATTCTCTTGAACCCCAAACATATGCTATAAAGAAGGTGAATCCCTAAACCAGTCCTCCAATCTGTGAATTGAAAACCTTGACAGTTCACGTCTCCCTCTGTGCACTTGTTCAAAATATTCCAGTTCTTTCACTGTCATAATACCAAAGGATGTGAACCAAGTAAGTTTTTTACTCTCATAGTACTGAAGGATGTGAACCAAGTAAGTTAATGCTACCCAATGGTGAAAACTCCACAATTTAAATATAGAACTATAATAGGGAAAGTGGTAAAGTTGAAATGGAGTGGAGGGAATGGAAAGGGGATTTGCCTTGAAGCTGTGTTTTCATAGCAAGTACTTTCTCCTTATCTAAACAGCATGTCTGCATGAGTGGCTTAAAGGACCTAACCAAATTTTAAAGAGTCTTAAGTCACTTCTGGGAGCAACATGACACCCTCACTCACACACAGATATCAGTTGAGGTTAGGGAACTGAACCTGCCTTCTTTTACTTTTTAATTTGAATTAACGTGAGTATTCTCATCTTTTGTTATTAATAACCTTCCCAGATTTCAGGAAAGGATTGTAGTGTCACACTTCAGCCTTTTTTCTAGATCATTCTCTCCTGATAGTGAATCTCTTAATCTTAACATCTTTGCCATTTGGATAGCCAGACACCTTTCAATACCATCAGGTCCTGGTTCTTTTCCCTTTAACAGATCTTTCTCAACATACTTCTCTCACATGTTATAAGCAGCATAAAGAAGCCAGGTAGCATCTTCAAAACTTGGCTCAAAAATCTTGTATGTCCAAATTCATTTTTTACAAGTTCTGCTTTCCACACAACAGAAGTACACAATTCTGCCCAATATTGAGTTACTGTCAGTGCAATTTAAAAAACAGATATAGTATTAATTTTTTTTAAACAACCATAGCCTTTTAAAAAGTGGTAACCATTTCTTCCAGATTCCATATTCTATTTCCACCAAGGCTCTAGTTGGCATAATGTACTCTGAAATAGATTAATTAAAGAAGACATTATAATTGAACCACAAGTAATAGACTGTTGTCCAGTCTTGGCTTCCACTGTCTTATTACGACTGAGACAGAAACTGCTAGACCACATCATTTTTTCTTCTTATGAAAAGAAAAAATAACTTCAATTTTGAAATACATGGGCATGTATTTTATTTTCTTCAGACCTGTGACTCAGATATTGAGAACAAGTAGAGAGTAATGATATATATTTGAAAATTTGAAGTCAGATACATCTTGTTGAAACCCCTGCCTTTTCCTATGTGACCTTGGAAAAGTAACCTAAATTTACTAAGATTCAGTTTCTTCATCTGTAATATTATGTTATAATAACAACTAGTACATTGAGCACTTATAACAGGCAATACCCTACACAGAGGAACCAAAGCC